TGAACATAAACTAAAAATTCACAATGTTTGAATAATAAAATTATATTTAGGGATCAATTAGGCGATAGTACATTGGTTGCATCTACAAGGTGATTGATCAATCAAAGACTATCACAAGAATATATCTAAAAATAATGTTTGATGATGTGGATGTAAATTCAAACTTATGACATTATGTTTTATGAATGTGCATTGCATGTAACTTTTTTATTTCTTCGGGATCAAAATAAAAAGTGTTTTTGTTCGAGCAAAATAAGTATGGTGACTTTTCAATGAATGAAATTTCTTTTAGCGCTCCAGTTTAAAAAAAATTGACTTTTGTATTATAAAATCTTAATAATTAATAGAAAAGAGGAGAAAAGGGGGGGGGGTGATCCTAATGCTTCTTTTGGGTTCTAGAGTTACACGAATCATGCATATTAGCACATCAAATCTTTTCCCTAAAATTCAAATTGGTATTAGGTTACTAAATTTGGCTATTTTCAATATTACTACCTTATATCTTTCATATTTTCAAGTTAGCCCCTCAAATCATTCAAATTGTATTTATTTTTTATATTTGGTACCTTAAATCATTCAAATTTGTAATCAGTCCCTAAAATCATTGAAATTGCTAATCGGATTAAACCTTAGTTCGTTTCATTTAGAAATTAGTTCATTGAGTAAAAGTAGTAATTAGAGCGCTTAATTTGAAACAGTTTTAATATTTGACTGACTAATTTCAAAATATGAAAGACCTAAGGGTACAATAGTGAAAAAACCCAGATATTTTTAGCAATATGAGACAAGTGATATTAGATTGGTCCATCATTGCATTGCAGAATAGCCCTTCTTTCTAATTATCCTATTCATGACGAATTTTGTGCATGATCAGCAAACGAAAGGCAACGAATATAACAAAATTGCGCAATAAATAGCATTAAAAATAACAAATTTTGAGCTTTTAGACTGATGATATATGATACTATAAAAGTTATGAACAATATTTCATGCTTATAGTAGATTACTGCAATCTCAGAAAATTTTTTATTATTGCAAAGAATTTCACATCATAATTAACATAAGCCATCAAGACTAACAAATGAGTATTTCAATACTATATGTACTATATGCATTCTTAACAAAATGGAATGCAGATATTCCAAGTCCAGTAACTCTCAACCATCATCGAGAAAGTACCATGGCCCATCACCTAATAACTAAAAACACAAAAATTCCATAAAATTCATAATGTTGATAGATTAGATAGTAAAACGTAAGGATGCGCTGAAAACACAAATGTGAAGCACACTGTCACCAGTATTAACAATCTCATTTTCATATGAAATCATACTTGTTCATAAAAAGAAATCCCATCACGGTAAGAGTTAGAAAAGCAAAAGATGTCTTTTAGAGGTAGAATAATGAGCAAGCTCTAACTTGTGCGTGGACATGTCACAGAGCTTCACATGACTTCGAAACATAAATGATGAAAGAATGTATATCATATACAGTCTGAAGTTGGTGTTTGGTCAAATTTTAGCTGCTTCACTGCCGGGTATAATAGTATTAGTACAATCTATGCATTTGTATACATTAATATTGATGAGTATGAGACCTGAAGATGATAGTTATATGCACAAACTTTGTCAAATATGCTCCTATATATTAAAAATAAGTCATTGCCTAAATTTTTACAAGTTAGTACAACACAAATTTGTTGAACTCAGCAAGCATGACTTTTGGCATCAGGACATTCCACTTAATCTTCTTAATCATTCACAAATTTGTTGAACTCAGCAAGCATGACTTTTGGCATCAGGACATTCCACTTAATCTTCTTAATCATTGGGATTCCATCATTCTTGGCTACTTCTTTGTCTTAATCATTGGGATTCCATCATTCTTGGCTACTTCTTTGACCTTAGAATAACTAAAATAATAAGATGATACATTTTAGAATAAAGCAGCCATAGTAATAATGTTAAATGGTGTAGTATTATTGTCATTGTAGGTTGTCCTGCATCATGTAATCCTACTATTCAACTTTCAGCTATTATTATGAATGATTGTCACCAACGAAGCTTATATTTGGTAATAAGACAAGTTGCCCACTGTTATCATGAAATCAATTAAAAGTCTCATTCTATATGTTCTAAATCATACATTTAGTCACATGACTTCGCTGGAATACTTGAGCATTTGCGTAATATGGTATTAATTGCTTTCCACTGAGTCAATACTCATAACTGTAAATACAAGTATCGTTGGCTCTATTTTTCATGAAAAGGAAAGTAACATATATTAGTAATTTAATGAACATGTTTTGAGCATAAAACAATAGCCAATTATTGAAAACTATCTCAAATGAGATTTACATGTTATTTTATAATTGTAATTAACTGCTAATTTAAAATTGGAAAAGAGGTTAGTTAAATGCTTATAAGAAATATATCATGGCACAAATATTACATGCACAAAAGATGTTTTCCCCACAACTAAGAAATAACATTTCTTCAAAATATTTCTAGAGTTGCAAATCAGTTAAGGGGAACCTGACAGCTTCTTTTAGTGTATACTCTTGAAGAAGTTTTTCTTTATGTCGAAATGAATAAGGAAATGATGGAAAAGTCGACGTACCAGCTATGATACGTCTAATATGTTTAGAAAGCATTACTGGATATCATGACCTAATGCCCAATCACTTGTAATAGGTTCACATGAAACAGATGCATAAAAGGCAATGTCACTGTTATGATCAAGTTTATGTTGTAGTTTTGTGCAACTTCAAGCTCACTATGTTCATCATGTTTAGTCTGCCATCAGCCCATCAAAAATATTTTTATTTCATTACAACTTCATAAATGTAAACCTATTAGTAACAAAAGTCAACACTTGTGACAATTTTGAATAGAAAGATATAGAATATCTTATCATCTCCCTCTCAACAGAAATCAATAAAAAACTAAATCACATCTTTTCCTCCCTAGTGTTTTGTCTTAGCAGTCTGCATGGTTCCTTCAATATAGTCACACAATAATTGGAGATAGCAAGTTACTATAGATTGAGATTTGAAATAAATAATAATAATGAAATAGAGAGTCAGCAAGAGAGAGTAGTTAAATGCCTAGGAAGTTACTCAATTATCATCAAATCATTTAAAATTTACAATCATGGAAGGCTTAAAGACTTCATAAATCAGGCTAGAACTGTAGAGGAGAATGAAACATACAATTTGCAATAAGATAATGCAAATCTATAACTATTCTGGAATTCAAGATCTTAAAATAACATCTTTTTTTCATTCTTAAATCTTATTCCACTATTTTAACTGAAGCTCCTTCTAGAGAAATAGTAAATATTATATATTATAAACTATTCATCCAGCAAACTAGCATTCTATATAAAATTTACCAAACGAAGGTCCCAAATTCAAACCTAAAATCACACATACATGTAAAGGCATTTTTTAAAAAGACATTGTCTAAAATGTTGGTAAAAATAGAAAGCCAAATTCAAATTGTATCTTCAATCCATCAATTTTCTTTTTCTAACTTCTTTTGGGGTCAATTTTCTCCATTTTTATTTTTCTGTAGTTAATATTTGGGGATAAATAACTGGGAAATGTCATGGTGACATTATACCCAGAACTTTAGCATTTTCCACACTCTATACTGTGTGTTTTCCCGACATGCTTGGCTACATAACTTTTTCTGTATTCTTAATGATAATATAGCAATTAGACTAACTTGGATGCAATATATGTGCAAATTTCAGTCATGTAAGTTTTGATAAGCGTACCGACTCTCTATCTTTTGATTAGCTAGTTTTGCAACTTGGTATCTTTTTGGGCTTATTTTTCCTACCTCAAGTGATATTTTGTGGATTCATTTTTGGTGAAACAATCGATGTAACCATGCACATATGTAATCATTTTGTTGAATCATGTCATGTGATGCTATGTTAGCTGAGTTTAAAAATAATCTTATTTCTAGAATTACAATGCATAAACTTTTAGGAACTCATGTTTTAGAAAGATAACAAAGATAGAAAACATTGTTAAATCTCCATTGAAGTTGTTAAATGTTTGCTTTGAAAATATAAAATTATTTTCTATAGAAAATATTGTTTGATTAATTCACCTGTATAATGTTCTGAATTTATTTATGACTTAGGAAATTAAAACATTTTCTTGTGCTCAGTATTACCTTGCTAGATGGGTTCTCCTATGAACCTGAATCTCTACACCTCCAAGCACTACATGAAAATGAAGAAAAGTTAATATTAATTACGATCAAAACTAATCGTAACGGTAATCCATCAACTTGTGGAATTTCCTATATAGGCCACTTAACTTAGTTTGACTCACTTTTTGGTCCAAACTTAGGTAAGCAGTTTGGTGTTTTGTTAGCTCAATAATTGCAATAATTGAAAATAATTTTCTCACCTTTAAGCACTTCCTATGGTGGATAATATCCATACTTGAAGTCATAGGATCTTTGAAATTCTAATTTCATGAATAGCACAAATTAAAGACATTATACACTGTATACATATAGTATTTGTTTAGAAGAATGCAGATTGTTCATCTAAACAAATAGAGGTTTTCTAAAAAAAAAGTTCGGGAGCCTTTAAGGCTTTGAATACCTACAGGATATCCTGAACAAGAATCAAACATGAAGTTGCTCCATATATAAAATTTTTGGTGATAAATTATTACCCAGTGAGCAAGCTTTAATTAATGTGGTCTATAATTTCATTAGATACATACCTTTCTGGGATTAATTTAATGAAAGTATGGTGAGATAACCAAACCATGGCACCAACAACTGGTATTGTCCATGTAATGTACGGTTATAGCAAACTTATATGTGTTAGATTATGTATGACCTACTAATATTTCTTTTACTTTCATCTTAATTACCATTGGTCCAACATTTTTTATTACAAGGAGGTAATATGCTTTCCATATCTCGAGATTACAAATTTAGGATTTGCTTTCCTAGAACCTCATTGAACCAAACACCAAATTAGAAATTCCAAGATATTTATATAAAGCTAGGCCTTTGTTTTTTTATGCAGATTCATTATCCTATATTTTTAGAATTTGAATCAAACAACCCCTTAAGGAAAACTTGGTAAGCAATGTTACTGTTGAATTCATAAGAAAGTCAAAGAATTCAGAACTGAGTAAAGATGTCAAGTTGGGAGTCCATAGATTGGACGTTACCTGAACATACAATCATACTTTGATCTAGAATGTCAGTCCAGATAGGTGACATTATACTTTTAGACTTTTAGTTAAACGTAACGGAGATGCATTTTTTATACGTGTTACTTTACCTTACACCTGAATCCCTCATGAGATGTATAATATGCCACACACGGAGTTAAACATGTTCTTTCAGTAAACTATTTTGTCTCTGCTCTTAAAATTGATCACAAAAGCAGGTAATAGTTTCTGTGAGAAATTGTAAATGGAATTCAAGATAACAAAGTATAAATATGCAAAATTAAACAGCAAATATCCTGCAGTGAAGTCAAAAGCATAGGCAAATTCCAAAAGTATATAGCATACCTTACTGCAGATATCCCTCAGTGATTTGGAAAAAGAAATCCTAAGTTACTGACCTAAACTCTGTCTCCTCATCTCAATTTAGAAAGCATGATTTTGTTTCTCTTTAAAAAAACAAAGAGCATGAGTAAGGCAACAATATAAAAAGTAATATAACAAAAGAATCAGGAAATAGAGGGAGAACCTTTTGTACATGAAGTCGTGAAAGTTTATGCTCCTCTTTATGCAACAGAATTAGTTCACCATGAAGATAATCAAATTGAAGCTCGGAAATGCGACTACTGTGCACCACTTGTATAATTTCTCACTCACCTGAATCAGATAAGGAAATGATATCACATTACTAAAGGCATGACACTTTTTATTAAAAAAGAAAAAGAAAAAAGAAAAAAAAATCATACCCAAGCTCTACCATTTTTGCAACTACAAGCAGTCAATAGCTTCTTCTTGCATGTTTGTGTTTTGAGCCAGACTAATTTGAATCAGCTTATCCTCATCTCTATCTGGCGTTATGGAAGGACTCCCATGATTATCCATTGACCCCTCAGGTGCATTAGCTACTGAGACCTTCATCTTTGTGGACGCATCAACATCTAATAAAGATAGCCACATAGAGCCTCTTAAAATTCAATATAAAGCATACAGGACAACAATAAAATCAGTTACTACAACATTGAGATTTTCATAAATAATTTCATCCAAAATCTTCTGGGGTCAGATATACGCGTTACTATTTCCCACATCCAACTCTTGTACCCATTAACAATCACCAATTTCCAAAAAAATCCTCATTCCAAGCAATATAAAAAGAGTAGTGGTTGCAGTAATTGCAAAATTGAATGAAAATGTGTAATAATAAGAAAGAAAGTAAAAAAGTATATACCATCAGGAAGTCATTGATTATTCCATTCAAAAAAGAATCCCAAAATAGGAGGGAAAAAGGGATAAAAAAGAGGGATAGAGCCGTATAATAGACAAAATGGAAAGTACTGGGAAAAAACTCTTAACTTTAACTATCATCGTATGACTAAGATTAAAGAAAACCCTAATCACTTGATATTCATTTATAGAGCATCATCACACAGAAGCGCCAGGTAGTTTTCAACATAAACAATTAAAGTTTGAGTTAAAAAAAACTAATTTCCCAACCAGACTTGCAAGATTTGATAATTGGCCCCCAATTGAAGGTCATTCTGATTTTTTCTTTTCAGTGTTTACTTGCTCCAAAAAGTGCTGGAATAGTAATAATAATTTGCCCTTGAACATCCAATATAAATTATGTAATGATATTGTAATGTTAATAAATTTAATTGTTGCACATAATTTGGGTATTATTTACATAATTGTTATATATATCCTTAGAAGTTATTTTGTTAGATCATGCACTGTGATGGTCACTTGCTTGGAGATATGATCTAACTTAGAAATTTCTTAAATTTGTGCTTAACCTATAACTAGTAAATGATAACTTTGTTATAACAGGTTATTATGCATGACACCGATATATGAGATATGGTGGTGGGTCTCAACCATCGGGAATGGAGATTCTCCGGGTGTATGTCATAAGCATGCATTATGATGTGTGTAGCACTAGACCGTATTTGAATTCTCTAGGATGAGTCACCTAAGAGATAGAGAATTCAAATTGTTACATGGTCCCTTTGACTTGATGATATTGTCATTTTCGATTTGATAATTTAGTATACTTTGATGTGATGGTTAAGCTTGTTTAGCAAGCGCTATACAACCTGAAACATTGGGTTGCTAAATTTCATTTAGGAAAATGATGGATGTCTAGATAGGATCCAGTATGCTCATTATGATGAGTTAATTTATTATGCATTCTCATGAAGCTATTAAATTCCTGCCGGCAGGTGGTTTTAAAAATATTTTAAAAATTTTACTTTCTTATAAAAATAAAATATTTTGATGTTTCAAAATAATTTTTATTTATGTTCATGGGAATTGCAAATTTAGGCATGAGCAAATAGGTGAGTTGTCCTGCTTAAAAGAGTTGCCTAAAATAAATGATACTGGAAGGGAGTGAATGCAAGATATTATTTAATCCCATATTATGGAAGAGCTTTTTTGAACAGTTGGTCGGATAGGAATTTGATTGTTAAATTAAAATTATTAATTTGATTAATAATTGGTTCTTGATATGGGACCCAATTGGTCTCACTAATGTCATTAGAAGAGGTATACATGCAATACAATTCTATTTCTATCCTTAATTGTTATGGATAAAGTTTTTGAACAAATCTATTCTATCCTTAATTGTTATGGATAGAGTTCTAGATAATTATGAATTGTTTAAAGTTAAAATCTCTAAGACTAGTGTAATCCTATAAATAGGGTTCATGTGTAGACTTATGAGAAGTTAAGAAAAGAGATTGAAAATCTTATGAAGATAATATGAAGAAATAGATTTTTGAGAACCTATCTCTCAGTATTGCTCCTCTACGGTGACGGGTGGATTTCAATTGGAGGCTTTTTCTCTTGAGGAAGCTATTTCGGATTGATCTTGGGACAGATTATTGTAGAAATTCGGAAAGCGTTTCAGGTATTCTTCTAATATTCAATTAATTTTGATTAATAGTCATGATATGCTTTTTCCGCTGCGTTGTATATCATGATTCCAACAAAATGATCGCTGGTCAAACCCTTCACCTTCTGCCAATACACTTCTTCAACTTATGTGGACTTCTTCACCTTCTGCCAATACACTTCTTCAACTTGTGTCAACTTAAGTGGACGTCCACTAAGTTTCTTACCCATTGATGATCACTTGATTGAGCTGCTTTGTGGATGATCCGCTCCGTTAAACTTGATCTACATATTCTAAAACCCCAACACACCAAATTTGGGGTGAACCCGTCGTGGTTTGACCCTCCGTCGAGCCATGTAAAAAGTTCTATTCATTTGAAACCATTAAAATTGATACGAGTGGATGAAGGGTCAAACCATGACGGATTCAACCCAAATTTGGTGTGTTGGGGTTTTAGAATATGTAGATCAAGTTCAACGGAGCGGATCATCCACAAAGCAGCTCAATCAAGTGATCATCAATGGGTAAGAAACTTAGTGGACGTCCACTTAAGTTGACACAAGTTTTACTCTCTCTCTCTCTCTCTCTCTCTCTCTCTCTCTCTCTCTCTCTATATATATATATATATATATATATATATATATATATATATATATATATATATATATATATATATATATATATATATATATATATATATATATATATATATATATATATATATATATATATATATATATATATATATATATATATATATATATATATATATATATATATATATATATATATATATATATATATATATATATATATATATATATATATATATATATATATATATATATATATATATATATATATATATATATATATATATATATATATATATATATATATATATATATATATATATATATATATATATATATATATATATATATATATATATATATATATATATATATATATATATATATATATATATATATATATATATATATATATATATATATATATATATATATATATATATATATATATATATATATATATATATATATATAATTTGTCCTTTTTAATTCAAATCCTATTACATATTTACAAAAATTCCAGAGAAGGTTAAAAAAGTCTCTCTCTATTGAAGCTCTAAGTGTGACATCACAACATAGTAGCACCTGACACATGGCACCTGATAATAGGGACCTCTGTCCAGAGTTAAATGTTGCAATAAAATTGAAGCCCTAATAAGTAAAAACTCACCAACAAAAGCTCTCATATCACTACCTGTCCCATGCTGTATACGCCTCGCATTAAAGACCAAACGTTAGTAAGTATCATTGTAGCACGGGAAGTCCTTTAAACTCCATTTCTCGAAATCAAAATTGTTGAATCTAGTTTCCACAAACATGTGAAAGAAATCAACTTTCGGTTTTTATCTTCTAAACTAAATTTCCTACGGTTGTAACTTCCTTATGACTTGGTGTACTTCTAGAAATAGCAGTTTGATTGTGGATGTTAACTACGCTTCATAGTCTTTTTGACTTTCTTAAACAATCAAGCAATCAATAATTGGAGTATGTAACGCGGTTATAAATCAAATAATCAAATATTGCGCAGATAAAATTCATTCCAACTACGCTTCACGTGGTTTTACTGATAAGGATATTTGGCTGAAGAAGATCTATTACACGTATAATAATAAACTCTTGATTTTAATCATAATCGTGGATTAATTTCCATGTTTTCTGTACTTAAATATGTTCCTATTAATTTTCTCCTTTCACCAAATGCTTTATAAACCTCACTTTATCCACAAGAAGACATGCTCAAAAAAACCTATTCTAATCAAGGAATACCACCAAATTCTAGCTTTATCCACAACCATGCGCTTCAAAGAATATCGTGAGTAGAAGAAAGAAGGATTTCGGCCCTCTGATGCTATCATTTGTAGAATCGGCGAGAAATTTGGTGAAGAACAGGTTTTGGAAGCGCAGGGGAACTGTTTGGAAGCTGTGCGGTCGACCGCGGCACAAGGACGATCGACCACGAACGTGCACATGCTCAGGGTGTGATTTTGGATTCGTCGCGGTCGACCGTCGCGGTCTACCGCCTGTACCCTGTAGTCGACTTTGGCTCTGTCGATTGGCGCGGTCGACCGTCATACTCTGTATTGGATTTCTGGGTTCTGTTGTTGGTCGCGGTCGACCGTGGCGGTCAACCGCGTAACGGGTTAGGCCCAATAGTGGTTTCCTGTTCAGTTTGGGTTTGGTATTTACTATAAATACCAACATACGAATTAGGGTTTCTTTGGCTTTGTTTGGAGATTGGTTGGGGATATTTGGAGCACAGAAAAAGGAGAGTTTTTCTGAGCAATTGTTTGATGATTTATTTGGAGAGATTAAGATATTTGTTAGTGAGATTAGTTGATTGGTTTGAGCGTTTTGCAATCTCAGTTTGTACTCTTCTTCTCTATTAGTGAAAACCCAATCCCCTTCTTGCCCCGTGGATGTAGGCAATTTGCCGAACCACGTAAAACTATTGTGTTTGGATTTGTGACATTGTTTTGATTTGTTTGGCATTTATCTCGACGTTTGTTTGATTTGGTTCTCGAAGCACGCCCGTTTGGTTGTCACGCTTCCGCGCCATGCACAACAATTGGTATCAGAGCTCTAGATTCCAGATCTAGGGTTTTGCCTTGGTTGGAGGAGTAGATCAATTTGGAAGTTCGGTTAGGACTTCGTTTGGTGAGAAAAGTAGGATCTTTTTGGTAAAGACACTATCTTTTTCAGTTTGGATCTATTCTTTGTTTGTTCCGCATTGGTTTGTTAGCGCTTGGGCTATTTGGAGGAGTAAATCACTTTGGAGGCTCTTCGAGGGCTTCGTTTGGAGATAAAGGTGGGATTTTTCCTATTTGTGGATCTCGTTGTCGTCGTGCGGTGTGAGATCATTTGGAGACTCTTGTTAGGGTTTCAATTGGAAATAAAATTCTCTCTTTTATCAGTTTGGATCTATTCTTTATTTGTTGGTGCTTTGAGATA